AGACCCCTTACACCTCTCCGGGAAAATCGTTCCACAGTAAATCGTTCGCAAAAGTATGCCGGCATCGATGCAACGAAACTATTCCCTGTGCATGTTAGCGCTCGTTGTGATGGCGTTGATGGCCGTGTCGATCCATCTGTTCCCATGGATTTCAGGTCTACTAATAGAACGGGCTCTGTCAAAGTTTCACGAGACGATGATCCAAATGCTCAATACCACGACTTCAGAGCGTTCACCGATGACTATAGACCCGACTGGTATTGGAATCAAATGAGAATGTTGAGAGCAAACTACAAGAAGGGATATGTTGGCTACTCTCCTCAATATTTGAAAACACTCGTGGATAAGGATCAGGCAATCGCAGTCCTCGACGGCTATGTGTACGACTTGACAAACTATGTCATAGGCGGCCGTCGCCCGAGGCCACCCCCTGGTCAACAGGCCCCAAAAGACGTCAATGTCAACTTTATGGATCCCCTTGTTGTCAATCTATTTCAACAAAGACCCGGCCAGGATATCACTGAGGATTTCAATCGGCTGCCACTTGGAAAGCGAGAGCAAGCCATGCGCACCTGTCTGGCCAATTTATTTCAGGTTGGGAAGCTGGATACTAGAAGTTCCGCCCAGTGTCAATTCGCCCAGTATTTCATCCTCGCTATATCGCTCCTCTTAGTCACCATCATTGGTTTCAAGTTCTTCGCCGCATTGCAATTTGGAAAGAAAAATCTACCTGAAAATCTTGATAAATTCATTATTTGTCAAGTTCCAGCGTACACTGAAGATGAAGAGTCTCTGCGCCGAGCCATCGACTCAATGGCTCGAATGAGGTATGATGACAAACGTAAACTCCTTGTTGTCATCTGCGATGGCATGATTATCGGACAGGGAAATGATCGACCTACGCCCCGGATCGTCTTGGACATTCTCGGCGTTTCAGATACTGTGGACCCCGAACCGTTAAGTTTTGAAAGCTTAGGAGAAGGAATGAAACAACATAACATGGGCAAAGTCTACTCTGGATTATACGAGGTTCAAGGCCATATCGTACCCTTCTTGGTTGTTGTTAAGGTTGGTAAGCCTTCGGAGGTGTCTCGCCCTGGAAACCGTGGCAAGAGAGATTCGCAAATGCTCTTAATGCGTTTCTTAAACCGTATCCATTACAACCACCCAATGAGTCCCCTTGAACTTGAAATACATCACCAAATTCGCAACATTATCGGGGTCAACCCCACCTTCTACGAGTTCATACTTCAAGTAGATGCAGATACCATGGTAGCTCCGGACTCTGCTACTCGAATGGTTGCATCTTTCCTTCAGGATACACGTATTATCGGTCTTTGTGGAGAAACAGGACTCAACAATGCCAAATCTTCCATAATAACAATGATTCAGGTTTACGAATATTACATCTCGCATAATTTGACAAAAGCGTTCGAGAGTCTTTTCGGATCGGTGACATGTTTGCCTGGTTGCTTCACAATGTACCGTATCAGAGCCGCAGACACAGGAAAACCTCTTTTCGTCAGTCGAGAAGTCGTAGAAGCTTATGCCGAGATCCGCGTTGATACTCTACACATGAAAAATCTTCTCCATTTGGGTGAAGATCGTTATCTCACCACACTTCTTCTGAAGCACCACCCGAAATACAAGACCAAATTCCTCTTTAATGCACATGCCTGGACTATTGCACCTGATAGTTGGGCTGTGTTCATGTCTCAGCGCCGGAGATGGATTAACTCGACCGTCCACAATCTCATAGAACTCATTCCTCTGCAGCAACTTTGTGGGTTCTGTTGTTTCAGCATGAGGTTCGTTGTCTTTGTCGATCTTCTGAGTACCATTATCCAGCCTGTGACAGTGGCATATGTCATATATCTCATTGTCCTTATCGCCATCAACCCAACGCTGATTCCAATCACGGCATTTATTTTGCTCGGAGCTATCTATGGTCTACAAGCCATTATTTTCATCGTCCGTCGCAAATGGGAAATGGTTGGCTGGATGATCATTTATATCCTTGCTATGCCCGTTTTCTCCCTTGGCCTCCCGCTCTATTCTTTCTGGCACATGGATGACTTCACCTGGGGTAACACCCGTATCGTCACTGGAGAGAAAGGCCGTAAGGTTGTCATCTCAGACGAGGGTAAATTTGATCCCGCATCCATACCAAAGAAAAAGTGGGAAGAATACCAAATCGAGCTTTGGGAAGCGCAAACCCAACAAGACGATCGTTCCGAGGTTTCAGGAATCTCCTATGGCACTCGGTCCTACCACCCACCAGCTTCTGAATACGGATTTGCGTCCTCACGACCTGTTTCTCAAGTCGAGCTTAATCGCTTTCCCGGGTCCCGGATGTCCCTCTCTCCTTCGGAGATGTTGGGTACCGGCCCTGATATGGAGATGGTAGACCTCGCGGGACTTCCAAGCGACGATTCACTGCTTGCAGAGATCCGTGATATCCTTCGTACCGCAGATTTGATGACCGTTACGAAGAAGAGTGTCAAGCTGGAGCTTGAACAGAGATTCAATATCAATCTTGATGCCAAACGGCAGTATATCAATTCTGGTATGTTTTTTTTTTTTTTTTTTTTTTTTTTTTTTGATTCCAATCACACAAAAAAAAGCCACAAGAAAATTGATTATTTTGCGTTTCGCTAACGTCTGGATTTAACAGCCACCGAAGCAGTTCTTTCAGGGCAACTTTAAAAAAAAAAAAAAAAACCAATGAAACCCATCTCTCATCAACCATTTACCCGGAGTTCCTAACGTATTTTCCTACCGTCAGTCTCATTCTTCATTTACTCTTGTTTCTTGTTTCCAATTTTCCGTTCAGTACATTGTGAGCGCATTTCGTTGGGTTAAGTTTATTTTCGTTTCTCTTCTAGCGTTTGGATTTAAAGTTGTTCCCCCCCCTAGTCGCCTTTATCTAATACCGTAACTACAAAAGAATTTTGGGCTTTATCAAGCTAACTATTTAATTATTTTGCAAATTGCGAATTCTGTCTTTTGGTTCTAGGATTTTTACTTATGAGTGTGTATATCTACGCATCAGAGGCCGTTCCATTCCAACCTTTGCCTATTTTGTCGTTCTTGACATGTTGCTTGAAAAATGATCCGAAAACGACATTCCTTGCGCTTTGTATTTGTTCTAATCCTTTATCAGCGTGGCTCCTTGATCTCTTTGTCTATCTTTTACTTTTTTTTTCCCCCGAGATTTTCTACTTCCTTTCTATATAGTGTTTGGTTTTTGGATCTTTCATTTTCTTGTGTATACACATTTTCAATTAATGATACATATTTATATTTTAATTTAGAATTTTCATGATAACTTATGCTCTGGGCTTATTTACTTCACAATTTCTTTCGGAATTATCCTCCAGGGGATGGAATACCTCTTATAGTTATCGAAGACTTCCTTCTGCTCGCAAGCAGCGATTTTAATCATGTGAGTCTTCTGAGGGCACCACCACGAATCGAGAGTCCGAAACATTTGGTCCGGCGAAATTAGGGGATGCAAAACAAGTTACGTAAAGCAAGAACGCTTCGTCCAGAAAATTTGTAGGGCTATACATACTGTACTAGTGGTTAAAAGGGGATCAACGGAGGTGTGATGGTATGAATACCGGATCCGTGGCTGTCTTTTATGTATTCCACTGTCAAGGGATGCGTCAAATTAGGGCTATGAGATCACGTGGCATTCACCCATCATCTTCGCCAGCTTCGCCAGTCGTCTGTTCTGTCTGTCCATCAGTCTCAGTGCAAGGATTTGAACCAAACTAAAATTAGAAATTGATCCCATTGGCAATGCTGCGGGGCGCCGCGGCGCCGCGGCGATTGGGCGGAAGTTCTCGGTCAACCAGCAATTGCCATTCGCAAGGTATGTATCTGCATACATATTCTCCCTGGCCCCCTACTATTTACGCGCTGGGCCCGAGAAGCTGCATTGCCACGAACTCGAGACCATTTCTGCACGTTTCTTTTTCCGCAGTGTACCAATCCTCTTCTTGTGAGCGTATGCGCGGCTGTTATTTAATGCAAGGCTGGAACGCAACTGGGATGAGGGCGGAAGGTGGAAGGCGGGGGAAGTGTGTGGAAAGGTGTTATCTCGCCTGGTCTCCGACTTTAAAAAGACAAAGAAAGGAGAGAGAATGACAGGACCAGGCTGCCAGTTGTCTCTCGATTGTCAAAGTCCATTTCCAGGAAGCCGGATCGAAGGCACAAGTCATCAGTATATATGGATGCCCAATAACCGTGGATTTTACTTCCTCTTCGTCCACCTTCCCTGGTGAATATTTCTTATTCTCTCTCTTCTCTCTCTCACACACAGGTAATTCGGATGCCTGTTAGTAAATTCTTTACCCCAAACTACCCATTGAATACGTACGGAGAAAATGCTCCCGAAGCTCCTCCACCGCTTCTACGGTTCGATCCTCCTCCTCGAAACTCTCGGGCAGGTCAGAGGTGACCGTCGAAAGGCAGAGATAATATCGAACGAACCAGGGCTTCATAACAGGAGACTTCGACACCATTTCTACAACGCGCTTGCGTATATTTGTGCCTTTGACACGGGTTCGGACCATGTCACTGCCGTCGCCCTTGATGCTCAGCCAGGCATCACCAAGGTGCTGATCGCGGCTAACAGGGGTGTTCCCAACGAGGTCTTCGAATTTTTGCGGGATATTTTGTCTATCTTGCACTCTATTGCGAAGAGATCCCCCGACGAAGAAATCGCTGATGCCCAAGACAACATACTTCACAAAGTTGTCAGCCTTAGCCAGCCTCGAATCCGCCGTTACCATGAAGTGGCTGTCGAAATGTATAAATCATGCGGCCCACTCATGCAATCCGCCCGCAAAGAACTTGGTGGTATACTGAAATTTTTATAGATTTCATCCTTCGGAATATGCCAGAAGCTGACGGTTTGTGATAGCCAAGGTGCCAGGTCACCCAAGGGTCTCCGAGCTGGACCGAGTTGGGGCGTTCTTAAATCGTTTCTTCACCTCCGGCGAGTCCTTAAAGGATGAATATGAGTGCCTTGATTTAGTGAAGCAATGCCATGGGCTTAGATATTCGGGCATGATCGACACTTTAGACTCATTTACCGCCCATGGACAACCGTGCCAATCGAAATTCAACGTCTTCAGGAGCTGCTTAAAAAGCTTGGAAAGCATGCA